GTAAGGAGGATCCGGGTATTATTCTCAAGTGAATAATGGCCAATCGAATAGTCATAGGTCATAATCGGCCGGTCCGCCGCCGCCGTTGTCTTCATCGCGACGGCGTCGGCGACATAATGCCTTCTCGCGTTTCGCGCTCGCTCGGATTTATAAAGCGAGGCGGCACGAAGTGCATAATTCACGGACGCTCGGTGGTATCCGGTTACTTATACATATAGCGCGAATTTGATACGGTTAGATCCACGTTACGATTCGGCCGGTACAAACTCGTCGTCGTCGGTGATTGGTGTACGGCCGGCGCGTCGAGCTCGCAAGATTGATAGATGCTGCGCGTCCGGCGATGACGAATGCGACGCACCGTCTATTTCAACCGCTGCCATGTATAAAGACGCGTTCAATCGAATCTCATAACTCTTAATAAATCTTATTTGGATTCCCGAGCTTCTCTTTCTCTCTCTTTCTCTTTCCTCTCTCTCTCTCTCTCTCCCCGCCATGCGCGCGCGGGCCATTGCCGGGATGTGCGTGTTGAAACGAAATGCGAAACGTTTTCTTCGATGATATCACGACGATCGACTTGAGATATCGCGAAAAATCTAAGTGTGTTTTGACGGATGTTTACATCCATAAATACGCGTTATTTGGCTGAAATTCTTATGTTTCTTATTTTTACGTTTAAACGCGCACGTTTGAATCGCAACATGCGTGTGTCATTTTGATACGTTTAAACGTATTAAACTAACATCCGTGTTGCACAATTTAAACGGTAAGAAAGGTGAGAAAAGTTTCGGTTGGATTACACTTATACGTGGGAAAATGACATACTTAGATTTGCAGCGATGTCCCGCTAGTTTTGTACTTTGTAATACTTGCAGTACTTTGTGGAGGGAGGCATCGGTAGTGAAAAAAAGGCGAGTGAAATCCAAAGAAACGCGCAACGGCGGAATTTTGTAATGACACGGATTCAGCGTGCAGGAACTGGGAATGGCTCTACCATTATGGACGCGCTGTATACTCCAGCACAATGCCATTGTTAATTGCCCGACCGTCATTCTCGGTGCTCGACACACGGTGCTCAGATTAATTGCAGGGAATCTGTTACGTGTACATGCATTCATCAATCGAAATGCGTTTCGCGACTACTGCGCACCAGCTAGGAGCGTCGCAACATCTAACGCGAAACGGCAAATAGCTCGTAACCATTAAATGAAACTCAACGTCTGTTTAGACGTTTAGACGTATTCTTCGCCGCGTCTCGGCTGCACGACGAACGCGCGTCCCTCGCGGGAACCAACGACGAATGCAATTTGCACACTCAGTGGCGTTCGATGTGTCACATTCGGGATTTATTCGCACGTAACGTAATATCGAGAAGTGATGAAAGAAATGTTAATGAAATGGAAATTAAATTTCAACGTTTTTCACCGATTGAAATATTCCGCGCGTTCTTCCCCCGCTACGAATCGCGGGAATATTATATAATATTTTTAACGTTTGTAAAGAAATGTTCATAAAACTGGCGCAAATGAAAATAATTATTCGGTTATCGAGGTATTTTCAAGTGGCGCGCGCGCGCGCGCACAATATACCATCTTTGGAACGCAAATTACGCCGCGGCGGACGATTTTGCACGCTCTTTCGTATTTTCAGGTCTCGATGAAACTTCGTCGATTTTGGACGTACGCCACATATCATCGTAATATGTCGCAAGTGTCTCTAAACGCTACACCGAGCGTGCTTTAATACGATTTTGGCAGCGGCCGCGCGGAAAATTGTCACATTTTAAAATAACTCCGGGAAATCTCTCCCGCGCGCTTTTCCCGTCCTCCAAAATTCCGTTTCGTTATTCAATCGGCTGTATAATCCATACAATTCATGTACCAATGTAGTCGCGATTCCGGAGCGCGGCTTGTTAAAATTTCAACCCGCTCTTCGGAGCATCGAAATGTTATCGAAAACTTCAATTAAAAAAAAAGAAGAAACTTTTTTATTATTTTTTTTATTATTTATACGTATTTTTTGTTATTTATATGTAGTTTCTTTTTATTATTTATACAGAATTTATATGTAGTTCTTTTTTTATTATTTATACAGAATTTCCAGCATACGAAGAACACCTAAATACGAGAACTTTTAGAACAATCGAAAAAAATGATCATAAAAAAAATTTTCCTCCCACGTTATTCCCCCTTCGAAAACATTAAATCGCGCTCTAAATATATTTTTCATATCGTTAAAAACAAAAGGAGATATTTAAATATTCTCCTTATCTGAAGGACACTGTATATATTATTATTTTATACATGCAATCCCGATTCGACTTACGAACTTGTTAACACGAGCGATTGAGTAATCACCGAAGAAAAAGAGAAAAGAGAGAGCGANAAAAAAAAAAAAAAAAAAAAAAAAAAAAAAAAAAAAACAGAAAGAGTATAAGAAAAGAAAATATATCTTCATTATTTTCGCATTCATTTATGCACACATCCTGTAGCGATTTCACCGAAGTGTCGCGCGCGGCTTGTATCATTATTCCATTGACGCGATTCCGCTGCGAGCCTAAAAACTTTTCACGCGTAATGAGAGGCCTACAACCTCTCATTAAGAAGTCGTTATCGGCCCATCCAATCTTACGCAACTGATCGAACACTCGGTTCGTGTCTGGCGCGGTAGAGGAGCCCATTGCGACTGCATTAACATGCCAGTGGTTTGAAATGCATGTCAAGAAACTTCAAACCTCAGCCTCATGATCGACTTCGACACGGAAAAGACGGAGAATGAGAGAGAGAGAGAGAGAGAAAGAGAAAAAGACCCTGCCGATCAACGTGGCGTCGGCAAGAATAACACGTTGTTTACATTGTACATCTCAGCGTTGTGTACTGCACTTTAAGCGCACTTCGATCGTGTTGCTATTAGTTAGACCGACGTGATTTAGCACACGCAAGATGCTAGACACGCACGAAGTCGTAATAGAAAGAGAGAGAGAGAGAGAGAGATGTAGACACAAATCCATGGCTACTCGCGGATCACCGTATAACATCTCTCCTCTTGCTCTTTACTGCTGCGTATCTCGTTATCGCCTGACTTGAGATACACTCCAAGTGCGCTCAAGAATCCGTAAGAATCCAAGTAGCGACGGATCTACCGAGCGATTACGTGGAGGGCTTTAATTACCGAGAGGTCTTCCAGACGTACGGCAAACGCATGATTTCATGTGTGATCACAGCGGCGGGAAAAATCGTCTCGTGGAAACCCGTCGAGGGTTTCTCCCGAGATGTTACGCCGTTAGTCGATAATCGTTCGGTCGACGAGCCCGGGATTGAAGCGTTTCATTAATCATTACACTGACTCCCGTCTTGATTTGTGATAATATATTTCTCATTATTCACACCATATTTGCCCTTATTCATTGTTTTCACTTAGATAATATATTATATACGTTACATTATTCATGCTTTTCATGTTTTTATATATTTACATAACTATTTATTAACCTCTCTTACATTAGCCCTCGCTTCGGTATTTCATACGCCGAAGGAGAAAAGTGTTATGTTCAATTAAATATTTCCTAAGAAGTATGTGGGTAATTATTTTACTTGAATTAAGTAAATTATATCTGAGAATGTAGCGAATTTCTTCTCAAAAGGCAAGAAATGTTTTATTTAAGTAATATGTACTTAATCTAAGTGAAATAATTACTCAAATATTCTTTAGCAAATATTTACTTGAATGTAGCACTTTTTTCTTTCAATATATGTTCACTCATATTTATAGTAAAATCAGCCGTATAATTGTTGTCCCACTTTTTGCTCGCTATAAGCGTTAATATTCTGTGATTTTGTAACTTTTTTACATCCTATAAAGAAAGATGATTGACATATTTTTATTACTTTATTTGTTCTATAGTGTTGTTATGAATTATTTTTACCGTTATCATTATTTATGATTTTCCGGTGATATACGGAGGAAGCATTAAGCGAGGAAAATTAAGAGCCGAGAATAACTTAATTGCCAAGCGAGTTAAAATATTAAAAGATTCATGCTCCAGCCGCGCGCCATTAGGTCCCCCAAATGTTTCCCCGTTTGGAGCACCCGCGGCTCTACATTCGCCGACCCGGCGGCATCGAATTTTTTCTATTATCTGACGCGGGAAATAATAAAGAGAGAGAAACTCCTTTGTCCCGCAGCACACGGACAACGGGAATGGGAACGGAAAGGCGGAGAAAAAGTCTGCGGTGGGGAATTTTTTCGTCGGCGAGCTACTTTCGGTAGGAAAACGGTAATAAAGGTGGACAGACGATGCGTGTATATACGCCAGACACATAGACGGATGGTACGTGCGTATAAAAAAATTGCGATTCCGAGGCGGTACGCGGTAGGAAAAGTTCGTTAGAGAACTCTGCCGAGTAATTACGTTATGACGTTACGACTTTTTGCAACTCTCGAAACTCTTTTATATACGTTCGCGCGCGCGTTCCGTTACCGAAAATATAATTACAGGCCTTAATTAAAAAAATACCGTTTATCTTGTACGCGAGTGTGTAACGCAGATATAATTCGTCGAGTGATGTAATCGCGATGTAATGTAGCCGCACCGAGGGAAAACTTCTCTCCGAGGAGAGCAAACAGAAGAAAAAGATAGAAGAGAAGGAGAAAACTACGGGGGGCGATATGGAGCGAGGTATATAAATTGCGACACACTTTCCCGAGCGTTTTCGTAATTATCACGGCGGCGTGCGCGACGGAGCCGCGCGGAGGAATAGTTTCAGCGCGGCAATCGCCATGAACCGCACCTGAGCCGTCATCAATGAGCATTACGTAATCCTTTCAACGCGCGGTATTTTCTCAAATCAACCTGCTCTCATTCTGCGAATTTTCATCTTTCCGTTCTCAGTAAACCGGCGAAAAATACAAACGGACGCTCCCGTGTTATACCTCCCGTTTTCCTAGTCTTCTTAATAATAACAAAGAAACGTCAAGCGCGATTTCACGAGCGAATGTCGATAATGTACGGAGTGTTTGAGGAGGAGACCCACGGTGAGGAACGGTGTTTTAATATCCGTTGTTTAAACGAACGCCGCTCCTCGTCGTTAAATATTCGTTGCTAACGAAGTCACAAGTTACAGTTCCATCGACTACGAGTATTCGCAACCTCGCTCCGTTGTGTTCGTCTCATTTCGGCTCTCCGGAGCCAATTTGCTGGAAATTTTCGCAGGCGATTTACAATATCGAGAAATACCGCGATTATAGGTGTACCGCCCGAAACTCGAAATAATGTAAACATTAAGGAAAACTGATAAATTGCATTTAAAGGTGACGCCAAAAGTTTGACAGTAATTTAAAATCCGGATCAAAGTTATTCCATTTTAAAGGAGGTTAGAAGATGAAATGAATTTGATAAGAATTTGACGAAACTTGAATTTTAGAATTATTGATTTTATTCTGAATTATTCGATCAAATAATGCATAAAAATAGCATTAATAAGAAAAATGAAAAATAACAATATTTTCATATCCGTAATATTGTATATATATGTCTATCTCAACTTCGTTTCAAGTTAACAATTGTTATTTAGGTGATGAAATAAATGTAATAAATATAGAGAAACGTAATTTTGCTTGATACATTCTAAATTAATGAATAGCTCTCTTGATGCGCCCACTAATGGGCGATGCGTCCTTAAATTCCACTCTACACCCTCGAGAAAAACGGATCATCCGGGAATCCGCTGGACCCAGGCTGCGACGTCGATTCGGAGTCACCCCGTAGATATTCGCCCAACTTCTGTACATATTCGATCCCCAACCTCGAGCTCCGCAACGAGGCTCGCCGTCCCGTAATCCACGGTTGATCCGTGGCACGAAGGCGACCGTAATAACGCCGTCAGAAGTCGGTGTGGAATCGGACGGAATTGAATTTCATGCCGTAGAAAATGACGAGCCACGGGAGGGCAACACTCCTCTCCGGAGCCCGACATGGAGGATCAGCTACGAGAGACATGCCGACGGGACTGAAGGAGAGAGTAGAGAGGAGAGAACGACGCGGAAGAGACGGCACGCGAATAAATTTTCCACCTGCTGTCATTCGACGAGTCGTAGATCTCTCTCTCTCTCTCTCTCTCTCTCGTAACGCGAACGGTAGAAGAGACAAGGTGAAACGCATGTAATGTGTGAGATGCTCTATCCACACGTATTCCATGAAGAGCAATGGCTCGTGTGTAGTTAAATATACAGGGTGTTCCGTTGAAACTGGAGGTATAACCGGATGACGAAATGGGAAAAATATCCGAAGAGCAAAATCGACTGAGAAAACGTAGCAGTATTCATTTCTCCTCGATATCAGTCGATATCGTCCGTGAGATAATTAACGCGCGAATAGAAGAATAAATTCGTGATTCTCGTGAAAAAAAAAGGTGCGATCTCACGCAGCAACGATTCATCAGTGTCTTGCGATTAAGATATCGCGAGCAAGCGCGGGCGCGTTTTTCCATTGGAATGGCAAGTCGTGACGTAACGACAGAAAAAACACACAATCGCACCTCGCCGAGCGGAAAACCAATAACGAACGACTTTCGACACAAAGATTTCATAAACAATGGATTACTGGAGCGGCGTCGATAAAGCTTGATCGCAATAGCATCTATCGGCCGCCGAGGCAGCCATGGGACCCGCAATTTAATAAATATTACAACTCGATCGCAAAATTTGACCCATTCCAGTATCTCTTTTCGCATTTTTTTCTACAATGATACTCAGAGCAAACGAATAAGGGACGAATGAGAGAAGAAACGTTGGATAAGAAAAGTTAAAAGAAGAATAATTAATAATTATCTAATAATCAATAATTATAATCTGAGTAGAATGCTCTCCCTATACTTTGTAACTACTCGTTATAATTCGGCATATTAAAAAATGATTTCTTAAGTCATAATATACTAAAATTATAACAAAAATTGTATAATTCTGAAAACAAAGAAACATGGCGTATGACTTAGACAGCCAATCAAATCGATCTAGCCCAATGTCACTTCTCTATTTATATCTAGGTCCATTTAAAGTCGGGTCTTATAAATAAGATCGTCTTATATTCATCTTCAGATGCTTCGTAGCTAATGAAACGAACCATCCAGAATACAAAGACGAACCTTAAGACTATTTTAAATATAAGATCCGACTATGAATACCAGCCTAGGACTTTATTCATTACGACTTCATTCGTTTCTTTTTAGAGAATGATATCGCATTAATTGATATTGCCGTCTTGTTTGTTCCGTCTTGTTTGTTTCTACACGAAGAAACCGTCGCAATACAGCGAAGTAGCACCGTTTATCTTTTCACTGGTGTTTTCGGTCTTCATAGAAAAAAATAATAACTCTCGAACTAATTAACCCGTTCCGCTTTCAAACGCACGTGGACGTACGGAGACAATTTTCCGATTTGACAATATTGTGTGGCCACGAGTATTGATTAGTCGCTCGCAAAAGTCAACTGCACAGTTGCCGGCGCGGCTTAAAATATAACACGTAGCCGTTCATGTGATTGAAAATGGGGGAGTTATTAAATTTATCTGTCCAAATACACCGATGACCACTGTTCTTGTCAATAAACATAATGCACAAACATGGTTCAGCAGTTTTAATGTAATGTATTCTCAAATTAATGCTTTATGAAGTAGATTGCGCGTGTGCGCACATGTATCGTCCGGTTAATTCGATTTAACCTACGTTAATATTCTGTCATTTTCTATATTCCGAAAAGAGGAAAAAACGTCCCATAACATGTATTTTGTAAAATACAGAGAACGGAAAATAAAAATGAAGATCGATAAATCGTGAGACAACCTTTCGATTCCGTCATCGCGGATTCATATCGTAAATTGAAAAACCCGTCCATCTCTTTCTCCCTTTTTTCCCTCTCTCTCTCTCTCACGGATCTGTCACGGATTTTATCACGATTCTCTGACATTACGTCAATTCTCATAATTCGTCGAAGTCTTTCCGCCGAACTTGGATAATATTCCGATTCATCCGGTACGGTTCGCGCTGCTCGACATGTTTGTTTTGATTATTAACTACGGAACGAACGCGCGCGGAGTAACGAATCGGGAAGAAACCCAAACGGCGAGGCTGGATGTTTCCGTTGTTCCCAACTAAGGCGAGCTATAGGCTGCTATGAATACGCGAATACAAATCTAGGATTCGATATATTACATATGCCGCGTTACGCGATTAAGCTCGGCGAGCCCGATTTGCGATAAAAGGCCGAAACGGAGGTGAAAGGAACGCGGAATTTATTTATTAGCGCGTCTTGCTCTGCGCCATACGTGTTTTGCTGCTCTGCGCCATACGTGATTTTCTAATAGTCGCGCTTTTCACTAAGGCATTCCTCTCGAACGCAATATCGTGCCGCTTTGTACTGCATTGCACTCGTCGGTAATTAAATTCCCCGTAAACCCGGCGAGCACAGGTATACCGCCAGGGCGCGGACGTACGAATTTTCATGCACACGGTGCTTCATTATTGGCGGGGGCCGCCACCTCAGGGTCGGGGATTTGACGCTGAAAGGCGATCGGAAATGTTGTCGCGCCCGTAGATGTGTGTGCGCACGTGTGTAAGAGTTATCGTCTTACAAAGACGCCGGATATTATCCTTCCGCCTCTCCGGCGAGGAGTCCTCGGGTTTTACGTAACTGTCACGTGGAACACCCGCCGTTTACCGTTGATAGCCTGTGTGCGATTTCTCCTTTATATTATGAAATATCGAGTGTCTCGCGGAAAGAGTATGTACACTCACTTCTCGACAGGCTCGTTGATATATTTTAATATTTCTCCATGTACGATTGCAGCGCCGGTGAAAGAATCGATTCGTGTCGGAAAGAGTGACGCGACTCGGTGATTAAATCGCATCTCACGGGCTCATTGCCGTGCTCTTTGAGAGAGAGAGAGAGAGAGAGAGAAAGAGAGAGAGATACACGACCACGGGAAGACGGGGATAACTCATTAAACAGTAAGAAACATTTTCCTTCATCACCTTCCTTTCACCTTTACTTCTTACGCGAAGAAGCGTTATAATCTATCCTCGATCTCAGAGTCACCTTGTATCACCAATCAAGACGACCGAGAGAGACCGAAGAGTGGTGGTACTTGGCGATAATCCTCGTTGAGGATTATTCGCAAAGGGGGCCGAGATGGGGCAAATATGGGGAGAACACTGAATTCCCCCGAGTTTTCCCCGAGCCGAGCCGCAGGCTGACGGCCACGTGATGGTCCGCCGTTTTCGCGAAAGCTCGTCCGTTCGAAGCGACAGGAGGCGCCGTGCACACCTGCATCCGGGAGACGCGAACTCGAAAAATAATCTCCGAAATCGCGCATTCTCTCTCGAATCCGCCGGCGCAACGACGACGCGCCGGCAAGCGAGCGCGCGCGCGCGCGCGCGTGGCGCAAGGGAATTAAATTCGCGAGAACGACGTGTATTGATAGCACTGAGCTGTTTTCGCTTTGGCAAGACGCGCCGGGAGACGCGGGTAAGCGCAAGCGAGAAGTGTCGTCATTGCATTATTGTTATTTCGAGCGTTGTCGAAGGCTGTGCGGGCGGGCGAATCGGTATCGGTGTTCGTCAGCGAGCGCGAATTCGCGCGAAGGTTATCTCACGTGGAGTCGGAGAGGCTGTTTTCTCGCCTCTCTCCCTCTCTCTTTCTTTTTCCCTCTCTGTTTTTCTCGGGTATCGAGATCGGCTCGGTAACACACGGTCCGATTAATCCGCGATTACTACGCATGTTTTTCACCTACTCCTCCGTAGCGGTTTCTCGCCTGCCACCGTCGACGAAACGTTGCGCAAGTCCTTACGTAAAAATATAAATATAGTTCGCGTCGTATGAAACGCATTAGCGGTCACAAACAAGCAGGCGAGAGCAGCGCATTCGTTAATTAATAGTCGCCGCGCGACGGTGTCGCATGGATCGGAGGACGCGGAAAGTCTCACGGAGATCGCAGCACGACCGAACGGCGACGCGAGACGCGACGGTAAAAAATCGGCGGAAATAACGCGACGGCGCCAACTTCGTGTGTCGTGTGCCGAAAAGTGAGACGGTGCGATTTAAGCAGTGTTGTAGCAGATGCATTTCTCGAAATAATTATATTAAAACAGACGGAGATACCGAAAGGGGAATGTAAGTGGATACAGATATAAATTTGGTAAATAATTAGATATAGATATATATACTGTGAGAATATATACTTCGTGAAGTGTATCTAGATAGATTCTCACCGTATGTGTACTTACATCTACCTCAAACTTATATCCATATCTGTATCTATTTACATTTCCCTTTCAGTACCTGCACTTGTATCTAGTTACTTAAGAAAATGTATCTATCACACTGGATTTAAGGTAGTTGCAGCATAAAACATGTTTTTCCAGAATTCGTTGAAATTCGCGCTATATACAAGTTTAAATGTAACCTAATTATCGGTGCAATTACAAACAGGCTGTCCATTCGGAAGCTGAGATATACGCAACTTTAGTTTAATGCGTTTTAAAGGCTGACTCTTTTTATTACGTATTCCTTGAGGTTAACATGCTATTTTTAACACTTCTATTTTCAATTGCTTTTATGTTCAATAGAATTGAATAGAAATGAATCGAAGACACCAAATTAGTTTACACACTTAATACATATACATATTTTAAGCGCTTATATACTTCTTTCTATTATCTATGCATCTCTATTAGATCGGCTAATGCATAAAAATATCATTAATAAAAAAAGTAAGAAATAGTAAAATTTTTATATTGATAATATTATAATATAAATCTGTCTATCTCAACTTAGTTTCAAATTAACATTAATTATTTAAGTAAAATAAATGCATGGTAACGCAATTTTGCTTGATAAATACTAAATTTATGAGCGGCTCCCTTGATGCGCCATTGAAAATCTGGTATTCCGTTATGCAAATATCTTAATCGTTACCTTTTTGTTTCGCACGCTCGGAAAACAAAGCTCGTTAGCCGATATCGGTAATCGTTAATACGATATTTCGGTGGCGATCATCACGCGATTCGTTATGGATCTCTATTGACCGCGCCGTCTACACTTAATGAAAAATGCACTTTTGACGTGTACGATTAATTGCGTAAATGTTTGATGAAGCGTCGCTTTAGCGTAGAGATGCGCTTTAATTCGTAATAACGCGAGCAACGCGCGTTGCACGTCTGGGGACGCGTGCAATTTATTGCAAAATCGGTCCGATGTGGCAGGCTTTTATTCGAAATAAATAAATGTTTCTTCCCTCGTCCTCACACGTTACACGCTAATTTCTATACGGCCCACGGTCTACCTTCGCCCCATCGTTCGCATTACATCCCGCTCGTAATCAAAAAAGGAACGAATGTGTCACTACAAACTACGATTCCATATCGGCAACACGCCGGTGATTTAGCGACGTCGCGAAAAGGCACCTAATTTTGTATCACAGAGAGAGAAGGTTATTTCGAAATATACGAGGTTCGGGCTTCCACCCGAACATCGCGGGAGGCTGTAATGAACAAGAAGCGTATTTACAAACCGCCCTCGTGTGTTATTCGGCCGAGAAACAAAAGTTCCGACGCGAAGAAATTAATTTCTCTCGCGTCCCGCCCGGCCACTCATATTCCGCAGCCTCCGCAAAAATTATCACCGCGTAACTGTCGCGCCAGGACGCCGCCGTTGGCAGGACGAACGGGACCGTCCGTTTCTACATCACGCAGCCCAAACAAGTCCTTCGTTAACACACCGGCGCGATACTAATTATAGCTTAATTATAGTTTTATTATTATTTATTACACCTCTCTTATGCGCGCGCGTGATGTTCGGCTGACCGTGTAAAAATGTCCACTGTGGTATTAGGGAGCTTAAATTGTACGTTGTTCGACATATCTTCCTGTTATTCTTAAAAAAAAACGGCAGCTTTTTCCTCCAACGAGCGACCATCCCCGAAATATTTCAGAACTTTAATCTTGCAATACCCTCTGTTTCTCTCTCTCTCTCTCTTTTCTCTTACTTTTTCCTTCCTCCGAACACTGCATTAATATAAACTGCGATTAAAGAGCAACGATCACGAAAGGAAAGAGAGGTTCTCACCTCTCGCGTGCACCAGAATTAACGAATATTTCATGCCGTCCGACGGCGAAAAGGTACGTTCTCGTCGTGAGACCTCGCGAATCTTCGTCCGCCCAACGGCCGCCGAAACGCTGCGGTTTTACGACATCAGTGGGGACGTTCCCGATGAGCACTCTTTCCGTCGCACGATAATAGCAATAGGCAATAATAGAATTCCACTCGGACAGTTATACGCGTAAATTATTCATCGCGCGGAGGGAGTCTCATCAGTTCGAGCCAAGCATTAATTTATTCATATTCACAAACTTACAGATCGCCGGATGAATAATTTGCATAGGTAACTGCCGGGATAACCACATCGCGGATGCACTTATCCACCGTCGTCTTATTACCTCCCCGGGAAATTGTAGCGAATTATTGGAGTAATTGTGCGCGCGCGCGCGCGGCGAGCTCTCGTCTTACGAACTCGAAACCGCGCGAAGAAATGCTGATTGCACTATGCTCCTGCGCGCACCGTCCCGCGACTACCGTCCACGATAACAACGTGTAAAAAAAGAAGACAGAAAAAGTAGCGCGAATGAGCGGTGAGATCAATCTCAGATAGTGACGTCCGACATTTTCCTGTTTCGTTCCAATCGCGCGTAACCGCCGCGCGGAAAAAAAGTCCGGCGTCAACCAGAAAGGGACGCCAACCGGCATGTATTTCGGTTGAAGGAAACAGAACGGGAACAGAATTTCTGATTATAAGAATCACGTTTGGGTCGTAGGAACCAGAAATTCTGTTTTCTTCAACGAGAACGAATCTAGCTGTCCCCTTTCTGGTTAATGCGATCAAATTTTCTTCTCGTATTAATAACTCTTCGGGAAAATCTCTCTCGTCAATATCTGTATTCTCGCTCGTCCATCTTTAAAAATGAGAGACACCGAAAGAGAGAAAGAGAGAGGGTGGGGGG